AAAAAAAAAAAAAATAGAAAAGAAAAAAAAAGGGAGAAGAAAAACTTGGGGTGCCTGGTTGGCTCAGTTGGTAGAATGTGCAACCCTTGATCTCAGGGTTGTGAGTTTTAGCCCCACATTGGGTGTAGAGATTGTTTACAAATAAAGTCTTAATTTGGCTCAGGTCATGATTTCATGGTTCGTGAGTTCAAGCCCCGCATCAGGTTCTGTGCTGGCAGCTGGGAGCCTGGAGCCTGCTTCGGATTCTGTGTCTCCTTCTCTCTCTGCCCCTCCCCTACTTGCACTCTGTCTCTCTTTCTCTCTCAAAAATAATTAAACATTAAAAAAAAAAGAAAAAATATAAAAGCTGATTTCTGATGTCCCTTTACTTGGAATCTCCTCTTCGCCTTTAGTAATATTCTGAAAACCCTTAGCACATGCATGCGTCCTGATGGTACCATGTATACATGCACTCTTAGACAACATGAGGCCTCTCTATTCCCCTTTTCCATCAGAATCCCCCTGTCCTGAATTCTGCTTCCATAGCATACTTTGGATGTCTGGCTAGACATATGCTGATTGAAACAAAAGATTCAAATAATTGGTAAGAGTGGCTTAATTACCCTTTACTTAAAGAAACTTGTTTTCAAAGGAATTTCTAGTACCTTAAAGAATATGGACATTTCAGTCACTGTGATAGGAGTCCTGGATATATATTTTAAAATATAAGTTTTTTTCCCCTGGAAAAAAAGTGAGGTTCAAATCATATAACGTAGATGCAAGATATTACCATGAATGAGTATGCTTTGCCTCTTAATATCATCTTCTACACATTCTGCATCTACTCAATGTATTTGATAGTGAAGCACTGTAAAAGTTTAAAGTGCTGTCTCATTTTTTTTAAGATTTCAAATAATTTCTATATCCAACGAGGGGCTCAAACCTTCAACCCTGAGATCAGGAGTCGCATGTTCCACAACTGAGCCAGCCAGGCACCCCTAAAATGCTTTCTTTATAAAAGAACCCCCATGCACTGTTGGTGGGAATGCAAACTGGTGAAGCCACTGTGGAAAACAGTGTGAAGTTTCCTCAAAACATTAAAAATAGAATTACCATATGATCCAGTAACTCCACCACTGGGTATTTACCCAAAGAAAATGAAAATACTAATTC